GCCACCAGAGCTCCTGTATGTAAATAAGGGAATGATGATACAAATGATAGGGTATCTATGAGATAGAAAACCATCATGTCATTTTAAAAAAATCCTAAGTTTTTTTTTTTAAGTCTATTTAATAATGAGGTGAATGTGGTGAATGCACACAATATGTTGTCATGGAAAAAAGTATGTTGTTATTAGGTGTCACTAAGTAGGTTTGGCTCATAGCAACCCTGTGTACACGAGAACACACACTGCCCAGTCCTGCGTCATCTTCACAGTCGTTGCTATCCTTGAGCCCCTGTTGCAGCCACGATGTCAGTTCATCTCGTTGAGGGCATTCCTCTTTTTCTCTGACTTTCTGCTTTACCAAACATGATATCCTTGTCCAGGGACTGGTCCCTCCTGATAACATGAGCAAAGTACAAGAGACAAGTCTTGCCATTCTCATTTCTAAGGAGCACTCTGGCTATACTTTCAAGACGAATATGTTGATTCTTCTGGCAGTCTGTGTTCTTTGCTAACACCATACTTCAGAAGCATTAATTCTTCTGTGGTCTTCCTTATTCATTGTCCTGCTTTCACATGGATATAAGGCAATTTAAAATACCTTGGCTTGGGTTAGACACACCTTAGTCTTCAAAGTGATTGATACCTTTATTCTTTAACACATTAAATAGGTCTCTTGCAGCAGACTGACCCAGTGCAATACATCAGCCTTTGATTTCTTGACTGCTGCTTCCAATGGTAGTCATTGTGGATCCAAGTAAAATGAAATCCTTGGTAACCTCAATCTTTTCTCCGATTATCACAATATTGCTTATTGGTCCAGTTGTAAGAATTTTTGTTTTCTTTCTGTTAAGGTTTAATCCATACTGAAGGCTATAGTCTTCGGTCTTCATCAGTAAGTGCTTCAAGTCTTCTTTACTTTCACCAAGCAAGGTTGTGTCATCTGTCAATCACTTGTTGTTCATGAGTTTTCCTCCAATCCTAATGCTATATTCTTCATATGGTCCAATTTCTCGGATTTTTTGTTCAACATACAGATTGAATAAGTATGGTGAAAGGATACAACCCTGACACACACCATTTCTGATTTTAAACCATGCACTATCCCCTTGTTCTATTTGAATGACAGCCTCTTGGTCTGTGTACAATGGAGTGTTCTGGAATTCCCATTCTTCACAATGTTATCCATAATTTGTTAAGATCCACACAGTTGAATGCCTTTGCATAGTCAAGAAAACACAGGTAAACATCTTCCTCGTATTCTCTGCTTTCAGCCAAGATCCATGTGACATCAGCGATGACATCCCTTGGTCTGTATCCTCTTCTGAATCCGGCTTGAATTTCTGACTGTTCCCTGTTGAATTATTTTTAACAAGATTTTACTTGTGATATTCATGATAGTGTTTGATAATTTCCACATGCTGTTGGATCACATTCCTTTGGGATGAGCACAGATATGGATCTCTTCTAGTCATTTGGCCAGGTAGCTGTCTCCCAAATTTC